CTTCCACATTCTTTACATTCTTCACATTCACTTTTCCCATTTCTTCGTTTCAGTATTTTTTTGCACATGTTGTTATAATATTGTAACGTATATCGTGAGCCATGTTTATAAGCAGTCTGACCTTACAGCGAATAGATTGAATAGGAATGTCTGAAATTTGCTTTCTAATAAAGTCTTTTTTTTTAAAGTTTTGGATGGAGTGGAAAGGGATTAGAACCCTTGTCAGGTTTTTATTGCTTCAGGGCTGCACCCCTCCCTCCTTTCCTTCCTTCCTTCCTAGCTCCTCTTACCTGCACACATGGCCTCGTCTGCCGCCGGACCGGCCAGGAGTGACGTCACTTCCGGTCAGTCCGACATCAGACGAGCAGCGTCGCTGATGGGGCCCTAGCTTGTCTCAAAGCCACTGGAGCTGCAATGCTGGGGCCATGTGCTGCTAGCCCGCCTCCTCGCCCTTCACTGTCGGCCGATAGTCATGTAAGGGACCCGGGCGGGCCCCCTAGGCTGCCCGGGCCCCTTACATGAGTATCTGCCCTGCCCGAGGGGGAGATTCACCATAACTGTCTTAAAAGAGTGAAAAAGTCCCGAAGGGGAACTGTAACCTGTGAGATTATCATTGTGAAGTGATAATAAATGGGTTATATTCATCCCAAGCAAAAATATAAATACACGAGTTAATGTTAAAGTGTATCTAATGTATCCAATTTAAAAGTGTAGCAAAATGTATCTAATATTAAGTACTAAGATACCAAGTGTATCCAGTGTCAAGAGGAGTAATGCAAATATCAAAATGCTTTGCTGGGTGGGTGTCAGTCTGGAGGAGTGGGCATTCCTAGGCAGGTTGGATTTGCATACAGACAACCCTAGGTACTGCCCACATGTGATGGTGAGCCTCTGTTCTATCAAAGTTTGTGACTCTGTTGGAATGCGTGACCCGCCACGTGGTCACTCATTTCAACGTAACACCGTCCACTTTTTCGGCGGTGGAATATGTGACCGCCAATAGGTCTAGAATTCCAACGCTTTCTCACCTGTTCCAGGGCAGATCGTCATCGCGGATCGAATGTGCAGGAGAACCGTTCTGCCTTGGAACAGCTGACCGGTCTTGAAATGTCACTTCTGTTCGACTTTGTGGAATGTGAGATTGAAGTCACAAATTCACATTTCAGGACCGATCAGCTGTTCCAGGGTAGATCGCTTCTCCTGCACATACAAGCCGCGATGCCGGTCTGCCCTGGAACGGGTGAGAATGCGTTGAAATTATTGACTTATTGGCGGTCACATATTCCACTGTCGAAAAACTGGGCGGGATTACGTTAAAATGTGTGACCACGTGACTGGGTCACACATTCTAACGCAGTCACAAACTTTGATCGAACACCTCCATGATGGCAAGAACTGAAACCAATGAATGAAAGGGGCGGGGCCAGTGATATCAGAGGAAGCCATTCCAGTCCAGGAGAGGAGCCGGTACAACTGGGCAAGACTGGAGTTCAGTCGTACCAACTACTATTATATCAGCACATGGATAAATGAGAACTTGTAATCCTTCATCAATAATTTATTATTATTAATTTGTATTTCACCGCTCAGTGATGACATAACGGTCTCCCTGCCGTGCGTCTCGCTGTAATGGAATCGATTTGCACTTCAGTTTGGAATCGGTCAGTTGATCACAGCTATGTCTATTAGGTAAATTTATACTATAGAGAGCAGTGTTCATCATTGAGGAAATCATTCCCAGGTCATTCTAACGGTGCTGTTAAGTGATGAAATATTGTCTGGTGTTTTATGGGCCAGTACTGAACAGAAATCTAATATTCATTTAGACGTTTAATCAAATGTTTTAATTGTTCAGGTGGAAGAAGCCGGGCAGGTGTTCCTGCTCATGAAGAAGGATTATCGGATCTCCCGCAACGTTCGCCTGGCTTGGTTCCTGTCAAACCTCTATCAATCCATCTCATCCGTTCCCGAATCAGAGCTGGTATGTACCCACTATCATTTTTTTTTCCCTCCCCCATTGGTAACTAGTTCAGCTCTCACCGCTGTACACACCCTATGGAGCAGAGCAATTTTATTTTTACTTAAAGGAGAAGTATTGGGAGAGTAAAATATACTCTTCCCAATACTTGGAGTCGGCCTGGGACACTGCAGCTGTTACATGCCGGTGTTCTATCGAAAGCTGCAACTCATCGAAATCTCGAACTACCCCTCTTCCGGTGCTCAAAAAGACTGAATCTCTGTACAGTTGCGATGCGCATGCGCGCATAGCGTTTTCAGAATACTCGTCGAGTTTGCCACCTGCTGAATATTGTTAAAATGCAGCCGCACAGAAGCTCCGCCAGTCTTTGTGTTTTGCAGTCTAAAGCCGTCTGGTCGAAATCTCCAACTTGCAAGTACCCGACAGTGAGGTAGTTAGAGATTTCGATGAGTTGGAGCTCTCGATAGAACACCTGCTCTTTATACCAAGAGCTCACACCTTCTCCCTGCAGATAGTGGTAACTATCAATCACCACTCCCCATAGGGATTCCACAGGGGGCAGGCACAGTTGGATCTAGAGAGGCACAACCAGCTTTCAGTCAGGCAGCCGGGTGGATCCCAGTAATATTATCAGGATTCTTCCCCGCTGCAGTTCAGCTCTGTTCTATCAGCAGATGTAGGGAAGTAGCCCGCTAGATGCTGACTTTGGATCACTTGAGTACATTAGTATATACTGCTGTGACCCAAAAGAGAAGTAATATCAAGGAAAATATTTGACTTTACTTCTCTGTTAGCATAACAAAGTAATACATGGTTCTTTTTTTTTTTTTTTTTTTTCTAGTGACATTGACACTGAAAAAAAATGTTAATATAAATGTTTAAAAAAAAATAGAGAACAACGTTACTTTGTATCTCTCTATCTCCCTCTGATCAATGTTTATAAACAATGTTACTTTGTATCTCTCTATCTCCCTCTGATCAATGTTTATAAACAATGTTACTTTGTATCTTTTTTTTTTTTTTCTTTTTCTAGTGACATTGACACTGAAAAAAAATGTTAATATAAATGTTTAAAAAAAAATAGAGAACAACGTTACTTTGTATCTCTCTATCTCCCTCTGATCAATGTTTATAAACAATGTTACTTTGTATCTCTCTATCTCCCTCTGATCAATGTTTATAAACAATGTTACTTTGTATCTCTCTATCTCCCTCTGATCAGTGTTTATAAACAATGTTACTTTGTATCTCTCTCGCCCTCTGATCAATGTTTATAAACAATGTTACTTTGTATCTCTCTATCTCCCCTCTGAACAATGTGTATTTACAACCCTGCCTGTGGTCCAGTAGTTGCTACATGTGGGTTAGGGCAAGCTTTCTAATGGTGATAGCAGTGGGCCTTGCTGGCTAAATAAGCATCGCACAGGCAGAAGCCCATTGGATAGTGTGACGGGGCAGAAGAGCAATTGGGAGACAGGAACAGAGCATTGTCACTCTGTAACAGAAAGGTCCTCAACAAGGACCTTCATGGTGGGATCACCAGGGATTATTTCAATAAAATATGTAAATTTGAAAAAGCTGGAAGATACTTTTGGCATTACATTAACACTAAATTTTCATGATTTGTTTAAAAATGTTCAACCTAATATAAGGCTTTACCATTGTTTTCATTTCTTAGGGCTTACACGACGATGAACTAGAAGTGGTCAGCGTTATACCTCATGGATGGCAACCCGATGAGCCTGTCCGACCTGGTCCTTTCCTTCTTGTGCCATCAACATGGGTGACTTTTCTGGCACGTCAGTACCGATTTGTCATCGAGTTGGATCTCAGTCCTTCTACTGGAATTGTGGTAATGTCATGAATATAGCCCATCTCTTGTACATCTGTTTTATTAACTGTATTATTTAATAATAAATCTGTAAATGCTTCTTTATCTTGCATCATTCCCACTGTAAACGGTGCACTTTAAAACAAAGGCCTTTTATACTTTTAGCTTCCCTACCTGACCTAACCAAACTCCCCCTTTCTCTCCTCGGATGCATTCATACCTCAATCATAGGCGGCTCCACTGTTTCTGTACACCAAGCACTACAATTCTTGAGTGTCTTGGTCATGTCTGCTCATTACAGCTCCATAGACATTGATTGGGCTTTGTCCTGGCCATCTCTTGGCATGGCCCCATGGATGTCTATGGACCTGTAATGAGCAGCTGCAACTGAGACAGTCAAGACTTCCAGCACTAGATGCAAACAAACAGTAGTGCCATGGCCTTCAGATTTAGGTAAGTATGCAGGAGAGGGTGGATTGGATTAGGTTAGGTCAGGGAATATACTTTTCTCCATTGCACTGGTTGCAGGAGATCCGGAGTGATTTATGCATCATGTGCACCCTCTCCTGCCAGCAGCTCTGATAGCTTCATATTACATGGACTAGCGTTGGGTTGTTGTTTCTGTGAGAGGTGTAAATTGAGGTGAACCTCAGAATATGAGATCCTTAAAAGAGAACTATGGGGTAAATGTTTTTCCAAGGGTCACGGGAGACATATACTAGCGTCCTCCCGTGACCCAAAGCTCAGTATATCGCGAGCTACAGCTCGTGGTATACTGAGACTGCCGCAGCCGGGACAGATCCCAACATTACTGTCGAGATCCACCCAGCTGCGCGAGTGACAGCGGGCTCTGCCTATCTAGAGGCAGAGGCAGCTGTACCCCGCCGTCTCCCCTGTCAGTTCCTCCAGTCAGCGCTGGAGGATCGGAGCGGTGGGGGGTAATCCCTGTGTGGAGTAGTGACTGACAGTCACCACTCTCTGCAGGGAGATGATCGAGAAGTGAGCGAGCGACGGTATGTGATCGCTCACTTCCCGATCTATTGAGCAGACGACAGTTTAATTGTCACGCGTCGGCTTGAACTATGAGGATGAGTGATTTTCACTCAACCTCATAGTTCTCCTTTAATCTTCAGGAAAAAGCAAGCATGTAGGCTTATAGAGAGCACCAAGGTATATTGACGATATTCCAGATATAGGTTATTTTTTAACTTCATCCTAGAGTTCAAAATAGCACATTGTGAGCAAGTTAAATAAAAAAAAAACTAAAACATGGAGAACCTGCACCACTAATAAAGCTAATTAAACATTGAGGGTTTAGTTATACTTAAATACAGTGCTTCCCTTTAGAAGTAGAGAGCCCTTCAAACAACATGTTTGTAAATAATAGATCAATAAAATGTCTTATTGTTTCCTGCTCAGCCCAATGCTGTGTCCTTGATTTCTTTTCAGTCTCCTCCCTAATGACCTGTCTCTTCCTCTTAACCACAGGATGACTCCACAGAAGAAATCATCTTTGATGAGATATTCCATTCCCTGTCACGCTGTCTGCTCGGCCTTCTTAGGCCATTCCTCATCCCCGGGTCCAATGTGGTTTTCAAGCCAGAAATCTATGTTACAATTCAGGCCTATTCTTCTATCATCGGTCTGCAGAGTCATCAGGTAACAGTTATGGACTGCATCACCAGCGTGTGCCCATCGAACATGATATTATCTCTTAATGCCGCACTCAAGCTGTTGTGAAACTGCTGAGACTTGTAGTTCCCCGGCAGCTGAAGGTGTGCAGTTTCTGTATAGTAGGCTCTAGCTGCTCTGTTCCTTCTGCAGGTCCTGGTCCAGGGTTGTCGCCTGGAGGAGCAGAAGCTGCCGGGCTTTCTCCAGCACGTCCACCAGCAGCTGGGCGCCTTTGAGAACAAGATTGCGGAGATGCTCCAGCAGCAGTATCGACCTCATACTCAGGTGGGCATAAAACCACACCAAGGGGAAATATTTAGTCAAGGGAGCTTGCAGCTTGTACCATGTTGTAACTTGCAGGATAGAGAACTCCAAAAACAATAGTAGGAGAGGAAAAAAGAGGACAAAAGTCCCAGGAGAGATCCGACTAAGTGTAGTGGTTTCAAATTAAGAATGAGGCAGATCAAGTAGGTAATCCATAACACAGACTAGAGGCCACCACCTAAAACTGGTGGAGAAAAGATTTAACTACAATGGGCGTAGGGGCTTTTTTTCAGTTAGAGTGGTTAGGGTCTGGAACTCACTGCCACAAGCAGTGGTATCAGCTGAGAGTGTTGAGTCATTCGAAAAGCATTTAGATTCCTTTCTCAGAGACCGTAACATACAGGGGTACAGGTACTTTTAAAGGAGAACTATGGGGTTAAGGCTTTTCCCCATAGTTCTGCTTAGGGTAACGGGAGGACACAAACTAGCGTCCTCCAGTCACCCTAAGCTCAGTACACTGTGAGCTACAGCTCCCTATATACTGAGACGCCACAGCTGAAGCGGATCCCGACAATTATGCCTGGATCCGCCCAGCTGCGTGACTGACAGCTGGCTCTGCCTATCTAGAGGCTGTGTGAGTGACAGCTGGCTCTGCCTATCTAGAGGCAGAGCCAGCTGTACCCGCCCCCTCCCCTGTCCATTCCGCCAGTCAGCGCTGGCGGATCGGAGCAGGGAGGGGTGAATCCAGCCCCTCCCCTGTCACGGCAGAGAGCTGTGACAGGATCGAGAAGTGAGCGAACGCCGTTATGTGTTCGCTCACTTCCCGATCTACTGAGCCGACCTGTTACAGTCTCATTATCACAGGTCGGCTAGAACTATGAGGTGAGTGAAAAATCACTCGCCTCATAGTTCTCCTTTAAAAACTAGACCACACAGGGACTTGTGTACACACACAAACACACACACATGCACAATCACATACAGACACGCAATAGGTTGAACTTGATGGACCTGTGTCTTTATTCAACCTCAAATACTATGTAACATATTTTCTAAACAGCCACACGTTGTGAATTGCAAAAAAAAGGTGCATGTACGTTTGTTCTGCGATTGCCGCGCGGATGTCACCCTATTGAAATAAATGGGGCCGAGCGGCAATCGCTGCCTGCATTGTGCAGGACCGTGCAATCCCTGATCGCGGAGGTCTGCACCAGGCCTGACAGTGGCACTCCCGTGAGCAGGAGATTCATCCATCCACACTATTTAGCATGGATGGGGACACCTGTTATGTTTTTTCTTTTAGCCCACAGAATTAAAAAAATATAACAGTGTATAGCCAACTTAAGCACTTTCAGTCCAGGAGAGGAGCCTGCACAGCTGTGCGAGACTAAGGGAAGGTCAGAGTTCAGCTGTAAGTCAAAAGAACAAGGACTTTGGTGCTAAGACTTTAAAGGAGAACTATGAGATGAGTGATTTCCACTCACCTCATAGTTCTAGCCGACCTGTGACAAGGAGACTGTCACAGGTCGGCTCAGTAGATCGGGAGGTGAGCGAACACATACCGGCGCTCGCTCACCTCTTGATCCTGTCACGGCTCTCTGCCATGACAGGGGAGGGGCTGGATTCTCCTCTCCCCGCTCCGATCTGCCAGCGCTTACTGGCGGAACGAACAGGGGAGGGGGCGGGTACAGCTGGCTCTGCCTTTAGATAGGCAGAGCCAGCTGTCACTCACGCAGCTGGGCGGATCTCAACGTCGATGTCGGGATCCGCTCCGCCTGCGGCGTCTCAGTATACCGCAAGCTGTAGTTCGCGGTATACTGAGCTTAGGGTAACGGGAGGACGCTAGTTTGTGTCCTCCCGTTGCCCTAAGGAGAACTATGGGGGAAAACACTGACCCCATAGTTCTCCTTTAAGTTATAGGGAATGATGACCATTTTTTGGATTGAGCAGTTAATAAATTGGGCGCATGTATAAACTGAGCCCAGATGGTTTTGTCTTGCCAGGACTGCCTACCTCAATATGCAAACCAACAGCCAGGCAAAAAGATGGGTGTTTCCATGGTGACGGCTGATATCGGGCTGGTTAGTATGATCCGGCAGGGTATCCTGGCTTTACAGCTGCTGCCGGCCAACTCCAACGCGGGTGAGCCAAGTCTGTTCCCTTTGGGGACTTTCTGTAACATTTCTTTAAAATTTACATGTAAATGGTTTTCCCCAAAAACCCAGATTTATGTTTTCCTGTGAATTGCGCAGGCATCATTGTAATCACAGACGGCGTCACCAGCGTCCCAGATATCGCAGTGTGCGAAACGTTGCTGAACCAGCTGCGCAGTGGCACCATCGCTTGCTCCTTTGTTCAGGTAAATGGAATCGCTTTTCTGTGGCTCTTGCTTCTCGGGGGTCCACAGATGACGTTCTAATTTCACCAATCTCATTGCAGGTTGGCGGGGTATATTCCTATGACTGCAGCTTTGGCTATGTCCCGAACGTAGAGCTGATGAAGTTCATCGGCATGGCGACCTTAGGATCCTACCTCTCCTCTTGTCCCGAACTGGAGAGCGGACAGACGGACATGAACGTCTATCACAAGGCGTTCTTACCGTATTCTTTCATGCGCACAGGCGAGGCGCTGAATCCAGAGTACTACTGTGGTGAGAGACTCTTTGAAATAATTCTGATCCTTAGATTTATGCACCATTATGAGGAATACCTGCCGTGTTTAAAGCTGAACACCGGAGTTGTTTTCAATCTATAACAATAATTACTGGCCCCATGTACATTTTAAATGTAATTTTTTTTAATTACTCTTCTTTTTTTTTAAATCAAGTACCTTAGAAAAATCAATGATGCTATAGTTTGCAAACAGAAAGAACAGAAATACCTGGGCACCTGGAGGAGGTATCAGGGAGGTGTCAACCTTCCAGCACCAATGGAAAAAACTTCAATTCCCATCATTCAATGAGAATTGTAGCTTTCTATTGTTGTTAGTGCGGGTGGGTTTCCGGCAGGTATGAGTGGGCTTGATTGATCAGGAGTCTCCTGGCTTGTCAGTCAAGGTGTAACTTCATGGTGGACAGGACAGATCAGGAGTCTCCTGGCCTGTTAGTCAAGGTGTGACTTCATGGTGGACAGGACAGATCAGGAGTCTCCTGGCCTGTTAGTCAAGGTGTGACTTCATGGTGGACAGGTCAGATCAGGAGTCTCCTGGCCTGTCAGTCAAGGTATGGTTTCATGGTGGACGGGACAGATCAGGAGTCTCCTGGCCTGTCAGTCAAGGTGTGACTTCATGGTGGACAGGACAGATCAGGAGTCTCCTGGCCTGTCAGATTTCATGGTGGACGGGTCAGATCAGGAGTCTCCTGGCTTGTCAGTCAAGGTGTGACTTCATAGTGGACAGGACAGATCAGGAGTCTCCTGGCCTGTCAGATTTCATGGTGGACGGGACAGATCAGGAGTCTCCTGGCCTGTCAGATTTCATGGTGGACGGGACAGATCAGGAGTCTCCTGGCCTGTCAGTCAAGGTATGGTTTCATGGTGGATGGGACAGATCAGGAGTATTCGGGCCTGTCAGTCAAGGTGTGATTTCATGGTGGACGTGTCAGATCAGGAGTCTCCTGGCCTGTCAGTCAAGGTGTGATTTCATGGTGGACAGGACAGATCAGGAGTCTCCTGGCCTGTCAGTCAAGGTATGATTTCATGGTGGACGGGACAGATCAGCAGTCTCCTGGCCTGTCAGTCAAGGTGTGATTTCATGGTGGACGGGACAGATAAGGAGTCTCCTGGCCTGTCAGTCAAGGTGTGACTTCATTGTGGACGGGACAGATAAGGAGTCTCCAGCCTGTCAATCAAGTTAGGCAGTGACGCTGGGCTGGACAAACTGGGAGTCTGAGATGCCCGGGTTCCCAAAATAACATGGGAGAAGTTGCAAGATTAATAGCCTGAGGAAGGAGAGGGCACAGCAGCCACTGGTCTTGTATACAGGATATTGAGTCCTCATTTGCCAGGTTTCGGGGAGCATTACGTTGCAAAAGAAGACCACAATTGAGGACGGGAAGAAATTACAATTTTTAAAAATGCTGAAAAGTTTCTGCCCAGAGTTTAGCTTCAACTTATAATTGGATTGTGCCTAGTATTATAAAGTGTTTCATGATAGGCTAATGTAAGCCAACATTAAGGGGCCTATTTATTGATGACGCTATTGGCTGGACATCGCAGTGTTTACTCCACACCGCAGCTTGCATTTTATTTGCACTCCGCGATGTGGAGCTTGCGGCGCTCCTCGCAGTTCTCTCTGCTTACCGCTGCAGAGGAACTTATGCTTTTGGAGGAGGAATAGTCATATGGCTCTGACAGGTCTTGTGACCAGGTTCTTCTCCCAGCCCTTTATTTGAATGGAGCTTTGTTTGCTTCAAAGTCCCAAAGCAGGCATAGCGTTGTGTAGCAGATTTGCACTGCAACCAATCAGCTTCTATCTCTCATTTTCAAATCTGGACTGGGCAAACTGAAGAGAGATGCTGATTGGTTGCCGTGGGCAACTGCTCCAGTTTCTGTCTGCTCCAATTTTGATAAATTCCCCCCAATGTGTAATTTATACACTTGATTTATCTACTTTTTATTCCACAGGATCACAGCACAAGTTATTCAATGAACACCTGGTATCAGCCAGCAGTAACCCAGCACTCGCCACGCGTCGGAGAAAGCACGCAGAGAAGGAAGTGCATGCGGACATTATCAGCGTGGTCTCTGTGCGGCTCAGGGAAGGATACAGCATTCGGGAGATTCGCATTACTAAAGGTGATTCCACAACGACCGTTGTTCAGTCTCTGCAGGACCCATTGTAACTCGCTCTGTGCATATATCATCTGTGAGACTTGAGTCAGTTTAATGCTCAACTTTTTTTTTATACTACCTCATGTTCTGGCTGTGGGGGGCCCTCAGTGATGAGGTCAGTGCTGCTCTCTACATCATGGTATGTGAATGCACGGCGCTGTGGTGACACCCTCTCCGGGGGCAGGTCCATGACACCCTGCACTTCACAGTATGTCCTCTGGGTTGAATGAGGCTGGACGGTATGGCTTTGGTAAAAGCCCCCCTTAGTGTTGGTCCTCATACTAGTTCTACATGAATAATTCACTTGATGTTGTTTCTACAGCTATGCTGGAGGTAAAACTAGTGCTACTCTGGAAGCACAACATGCGTGTTGAGTACCTGGCAATGGCCCCATGGCCCCTGGACCCCTCCAAGCGCAGCACCAGGGTAGAGGTAGTCATGGAAGGGAGTTATGACATACTACATGATATCAGCTGCACACTGAAGAAGCCCATCACCAGCATGTACAGAACCAGCGTGATCCGGAGATTCTGGAACACCTTACAGAGGTACAGTGCCATATTGTATCATGTTGTTAGCTTATTTTGGAACATGTTGTTGGATGGTTTAAAAGACCTGTTGTGATCATGAATTTCCCCCTAATGCATCGCCAGTCACAATTGGTCTATTTGCTGACCCCACGCCAGTATTTACACTACATTGTATTCTCAGTGGATTGCCCTCTGAGTGGCTCCAAACTCGCCCCTGGGATGGACTACAATCACAATACAAATGAGTAAACTAAACATGAGATTGTAGTCCATCCCGGGAGTGAGCTTGGAGCGGTGACTACTTTACAACACACACAGGGACCATGGGGAACAAAAGTAGCCCCCCTCCAGAAGGAAGCACAGTGTCGGCACCAATTCAGAGATGATTGGAGGATCTACAGCCGAGTGATACACAAATAAGATACATTGTTGTTCATAGTTAAAGGAGAATTATGAGGCGAGTGATTTTCACTCAGCCTCCTAATCTGAGCCGACCTGTGACAATGAAACTGTCACATGTCGGCCCAGTTGATCAGGAAGTGAGCGAACACATACCATCGCTCGCTCACTTCTTGATCTATCCGTGCAGAGAGCCGTGACTGTCACTCACGGCTCCCTGCAGATATTCCTCCCCTCCCCTGTCCGATCCTCACATACCGCCGTTCACTCCCTCCCGATCCTGTCACGGCTCTGGATTCCCCCCTCCCCGCTCCTATCCTCCAGCGCTGACTGGTGCAACAAACGGGGGAGGGGGAGGGGGCGGGTACAGCTGGCTCTGCCTCTAGATAGGGAGAGCCAGCTGTCAGTCACGCAGCTCGGCGGATCCAGACATAATTGTCGGGATCCGTTCCAGCTGCGGTGTCTCAGTATACCGCGAGCTGTAGCTCTCCTATATACTGAGCTTAGGGTGACGGAGAGGACGCTAGTTTGTGTCCTCCCGTTACCCTAAGGAGAACTATGGGGAAAAAGCACTGACCACATAGTTCTCCTTTAAGGTACTTGAATGTATTTTAGGATTTGACTCCTGAGTTTAGTGTCACTTTAACCATTTGTTTTTTTCCTTAAACAAAACTTTTGGCTTTACATAAACTTTAACTGATGTTTGTTGTTACTCCCCAGCATCAGCCAGACAGATCAGATGTTGGTGCACTTGAAATCATTTGATAGTGTTCCGGAACATTTTAAAATCCCTGAAAGCACCAAGAATGGAGTCCCTCTGTTCTATATCCCTCCTGGATCCACCACTCCAGTAAGTATCTTGTGTCCGGCATAATGCAGCTTTGTTATAAAGTGAACCTGTCACAAATGTGAATGATTCAAACTTTGTAAGTATAGAATAGCAGAGGTTGCCTCCGGTAAACCTGCATGCCAATCTAATCAATATATGTGGAGATATATGACAATATACTGAAGTCACTAGGAAATCTCCACTTTTCTGTGATTGTCAAGCTTGGCAGCCCAATCTGACCCTGCTTATCGCTTATTACGTTTCACAGTCTCACGGGACAATAGAGGGGGATGGGGAGGTGGGAGAGGACAGCGCCAAGTTAAACTTTTTCATGAAAAGTAGAGATTTGCATATAAATTCCGCTGCTATTGTCTCTAGATCTAATTCTCATTTTCAGATGCAGTTTTCTATGAGCATAAACCCTGCCTATGCCTATTTGTATCATACAGTTGTTTTGAGTGGTTCAGGCTTGTGACAGGTTTACTTTAAGCTGGCATCTGTAAACTCCATTTTGTGCTTTTGTCTGCAGGTATTGTCGCTGCAACACAGTGACTCGGACTCCAGCCATTCTCAGTTTGCCTCCTACTGGAAACCGATCCTGTCAATGGACGCCAATGTGTGGCAACGGTGGCTTCATGTGCACCGCATCGTGCTACTTTTGGAACATGACATGTATGTAAAGATACGTAGAGCTCTTCTCCAAGAA